AAATACATGACTTCACTCTAGCAATGTCTTCACTGGACCTGTCCTGTTTTTAAATATAGAATTTGCCTGCAAAAAGTTCTAAAATATTAAGTATTAAAATTAAGCCCCAGCAGCTTTAAAACACCTATTTCACAAAGAAATTTATAGACATGTTTGTTAGAAGCTTACCTCCAAGCTTCCTCAGTGTCCCAGGTCACTGCAACGGTATTATTCTTCCTAGCTACTCATACAGAATATTGTATTAGGATGGAGATTTTAAACTGGTTAAAAGGCAGACCATTATGCAGAGCTTTTCCCATTATATGCAGACAAGCATCACACTGCCCTCACTGCAAGCTATGGGAAAATATTTATCAAATACTTACCTTGTAGGTACCTGAAATCAGGCAAAAGGATTCTTATCCAGGGACTCCAGCTTCAGCTTTCCAGACACCGTCCCCTGCATACCTCCCTTGTGTATACTGCAGAGCCTGTTCTCAGAATTTTGGTACCTCTACAGCTGTTGGTAGATTTTCTGCAGGTTGTCTTTAAACTATTTTATATTAGTTAAACAGACAGTGTTCCCCAATTTTTTCATTCTGATTTAGATCTTTTTATGTTTTTGTAATTTGCTGTGTCTAGTCCTTACCTTCTTACTAGTTTTCTACTGGATCCATAGAGATCTGAATGGACATAGCATCCAGTAATGGTCAGAACAGCCCCAAATACGCAGGTAAAGCCAGTATCCCTTGTCCTAGTCAAGGACTATTTATTTAATTCATATAAATGTTTAGATATATAAATTTGATTAATTATTTTGCTACAGTTCTGCTCTGGCAGCTCATTTTCCATTTGATCAACATCTCTGACTTCAAAGTCCTTGACAAAATTGCAGGTTTCCAGGACAAAGGGAAGTCCAAAAGGACAAGAGGAAATGGCCTCAAGTTATGCCGGGAAGGTTCAGATTGGATATTAGGAAAATTTTCTTCACTGAAAGTGGTGTCAGTTTGGAAAGCACGCGTTATTCTGTTCTACTGACATTCTTCTGCATGCTTTTCCACTTCAGCAGAGAAGGGACATGAAAACTGTTTTCAGTACTGGATAATATGTATCAGAATATATTCAATATAGTTGATAATGTATTTATGTAGCACTGGGCCAAGAACTCATTCTTGTGCTACTCCAAAAGACTACGCTGCAATTGGCATTTCCAAATCCATTTTCACATTTGTCATTTATTTAGTTTATTAATCCAGTTTTTGCATGGAAAGTTAATTTGCCATGGGTACTAATCAAACACCTTCAAGAAGTCTAACTATATTATATTAACAACCTTACCTCTATCAAACAAACTTGAAATAAGATCAGAACAAAGTTTTGACAAAATTCATTTTCTATAAGCTACATTAACTTCCTTTCATTCTTTGTTAAGTAAGTCCCTTATCAGCCATTATTTTTCTACTTGTGATGAATAATCTGTTAACTCTTTTAAAATGCTGCCATAACAACAGAGTTCTTCCAGTCATAACACCTTTTCACCAGGGAATATATCTTGCTTTGAATATTTGTATTATTATTTCTGGGTTTAGAAATGATAATCACTATAATACTATATTGCCCTTTTTTGCCTAAAAGTTGCCAATGGTCTGTAACAAAGGACATGCACAGTTCTGAACTTTCAAATGCACAGTCTATCACTGACAACAGAGAGGCATGACATGTTGAAGGGAGAGACTGGAGAAGAAATATATATGAATTACGTAACTTAACCTCCACTCAAATGTACCCATTAAAGGATGAGAGAGGGAACAAGATAAGTGGCAAATTGAAATGCCAAATAACCAATTTCCTTTAATTGTTTGAAGAATAAAAGACACTTAAATTTCCACCAAAACTAAAACTTGATAAAACTCACTCCTACAGAAAATATATTTTTCTTCAAAGGGTGTCCTTAGGCATTATCTAAGCTGAACTTTAACTAAGATACTGGAAAACCCCTGAGAAAAGGGCAGCAAGCAGAGTGCAAACATGGAGAGCAGGAACCTGACCTTTGCCCACTGAAGGATGGCATTACCCTACACCTCATCAAGCATTTATTCAAGAGCAGAAGTCACACCTTTTAAGTTACAAATGGCACCCTATTTTACTCTGGATTTTCTCTCAAAATCTTCAATCCAGATGTTTGCTAAAGCCAAAGTTTCTTAGCTTATGGGGTTTACAAATGTGGTAGGAGAAAATCTGGTAGCTCTTTTACTGTATCTGGCATTTCTGTAGTTTAATCTGCCTTCCTAAAAGTGTAGGTGACTGTCCTTGATCAACATAGATATTAATTTGAATCCAGGTTTTGTGTCACAAAAAGGACACAGCATGAGGCCTTAGACTTTGAACTCGCTTTCTTAGGCTTTTGCTTCTGTTTTTCTAAAATACCAAACTAACCCTTTCTTGCTATATTTCCAAATCCTTGACCTCAAGGATGGTTTTCTTAATGGTATTTTACGGTAAGTCTTCACTCAAGATGGATTCCTCGTTAGTACTCTCTCTAGTCAATAAAAACTGCTTTAAGATTTTGACCATTTCATTGCCATGCAAACGTGCTACACCTACCAACACCAGAACTTTTGTTCATGCAAAGAAAATGTGGGACTTTCAGAAAGGTCTGTCCATACATGCTGTTAACGCCAAGTTCCCACCTTATACTTTATAACCCCTCAGAGTTTTATAATTCTTCTGTTCTTCCCAACAAATTCCTTTTCTCCTTCCAGACAGCCAACAAAGGACAGATTGGATTCATTGTGAAGCCTCCGGTAGAAAACTTACTCAATCATAAGCCTTGCTACAGAGCAAGGACAGTCAGTGCTTAATGGTGTGCTAGCAGCCCACCGTTATGGGTGAAAAGAAATCATGTCTAGGAGCCAACCTGTCTATAGGAATATAACTTAAAACACTGCTGTGTAATTATGGATTTGGTGTGATTTCTTGTCTAAGATCTGAAACCTGCCTTTGAAAAATACCTCTGATGACCTGATCTTCTTTGAGACCTTTTGGAGATGTGGCTTCCTGTCTTCCCTGACTTTTGCACAGGATTATTTTTCATTTTCTCTATTTTTTTTTCTACATCTATTATTTCACTCTGTAATTTATGACTTTCCAGTCTTTTCTGTCGTTACCTTCTGGGTTTTTTTTCACTCCTCTTATTTAGTTTCTCACCATTTTTCCTCAGTCTTTCCTGTTCCTCCATCTCATTTCTTTCCCCATTTCTTCCTCCTGTCCTCGCCTTGCTCTACTTTTCCTCAGCCCCCTCCTTACTTTTCCTCCATGATTTCCTACTTCTCTTTTCCTTGTGACTTCCAACCTGCTAAGAAGTGCTATCCCCACAGGCTCTTCAGCACCATTCGATCACCTGCTAACCTCTGTAAGCCAGCTCCTCCAGCAGCTCCAACTGCCCCCCACAGGGGCTGAGAGAGACCTGCCTTCCGGCAGGAGTGAAAATAGGATTGGCACTGCCCTGAAAGCTGAAGCAGAGAGGGTCAGTTCGCCAAGCAGGGAGATAGGCAAGAAGACATGGTGCCAGTCACACACTGCTTCATTTATGTTCCCCCAATTAAAGCAGCCTGTAGGGAAAGTAGTGTGCCACTGTAGTGCACTGGTGTACTGACCACTCTGAATGCTTGTTACCGCTCACTGTACTCAGTATTGCTTCTCACTGATTGATAGGATAATAAGTGTGTGTACAGCAGAGTGCAGATTCATTACAGCACATTAGCCAGACTGAAAGACAAATGCCCACAGGGGCAGAAAAACTGTAAGGAATAAATAAAATCTTTACTATTTTTCTTAAACTTCTTTTCCCCAGGCTACAGTGAGGAATACTGGAGGGGCAGGAGAGGGAAAGGAGATGAGAAGAGAAAGGGAGTGGCAAGAACTGGAGGGAAAGTTTGTTAGCAGTCAAGGAAAGCTTTATTCGTTTTTGGATTTGGAGTTTGGACAGTAGCTGAATCTCTACTTCTCTTTTTATTTTCCTTTGCCAGTGCTAAATGAGAAACAAAGGGTCAGTGCATCAGATACCAAGATAGAAAAACATTCCTGATGCAACATCTCTGAAATGGCTACGTGGCTTCTCCACTCACTGAAATTAATCATTCCTGAGTTTTGAAAGTGAAAACCAAACTAGTATCACCCTTTATCAACAGCTGCCACCATGTGGTGTCTGAAATACCATAGTTACTTCCCATTTGAACAGAGAGAAATATGGTGGAGTCGTCTGATCCATCAAGCGATGGGTTTTAAGCATCCATTCTTACAATGTGCTGCAGCTCTGCACCCCTCCACACACCCTGCTGAGGCTAAGGAATGAGCAGCCTCTGAGATATTGACCCTGACACTGTGGTCACTCTATCAAACCACTTCCCTATCACTTATCCTTGGAGCTGGGACACTAGGTCAAAGCCCAGGACTGGCCCAGGCTGTCAAGAGCCATGCAGGGAAAAAGTGTTCCCAAATGGCTGATGCTAGAACCACATCTGCTGGATGCAGATTTACCAGGAGGCAGCATCCTCTCTACCCATCCCCAGGATGAGGGAGGAAACACGTTGCTCCTGGGTCCTGTTCCTGCTCCCCCAAGCTTCACTGGACCTCAGCCTGTCTGCTGCCTGGAAATGCAGCATGGTGTGGAAAGATAACTTCAGAGACATTCCATTATCCAAAACGATGATGGAATGTAAGTTGTCTGACCTAGAACATTAGAGTTGATCTTAAGATTAAAGACTCAAGGAGTGATTTTTGGGGCAGCATGGGGACAAGACCTGGTTAGTTAATGCCCCAGCATTTGCTTGCCTGAGCCCTACATATTTTTTAGATATTTTAGATGTTAATTCCATCAGCTTCACCCCTCACCTCCCTCCTGGATTTCATTTACATGCACTTTGAAATGACTTAATTATGCTACAATTAAGAATACCTTTCTGCAGATAGCATAGCATTCAGAAATCTGCTTTGTAAATATCTGTTGGTAATATAGGTACCTCTGAGATTGCTGGAGCTTTGTCTGATGAAAAGTGTGTTCCCACTGGAAAAAATCCATTGAACCCAGGATACTGTGAAACTGGCATATGACACTGTGAATAATGTGCATGGGCTTCTTCTCGAGGGTGCTTGTCTGTCCACTTTTGATCCTGTAGCTTTCCTCTGAGCTGAAACTGTAGTCCAGTCAGTGCCTGCAGCATTGCTTTATTTCTTCCCTTTCCACTATTAGCAGAGCTGAAAAAATCACTATAAAACACACACACAAAACAGAAGCAGCAATTTAATTTCTTGTACAATGTACCTTTACTACTGAAAAAAATAAAAATCCTTATATATAAACCCAAATTAACGTTATGGTTACAGGGCACCCATAAGGACACAATCCCTAACATACTGCTGGGGGAAAAAAAAAAAAAAAAAAAGGATGAAAAGAAACAGTTGGCATTCAGTTAACAATCATGTTTGGAGGTTTGCAACTGACTTTGTTATTCCAAGGGAAGCCAGGTACCAGTCTCTTGGGATTAGGTACAAAGGCGAGAAAAAAGTGGACATGTATGAATCTCAAAGGTGACTGCTGGGTTAATAAAACAGTCTGTTTTCTGTTCACCCACTCGTCCTCTCAGTGTGCAAGTACATTAAAATATGTCAAAAGGAAAGCCATTTTCTGGGGAAAAATAATTCAGCTGAAAGTCAAAATTTCCAGCTGGTGTATTGCCTTGGTGTGTGCAAGTGCACTAACAAAGTGACCCATACATCTCACTGGATGAAAGTTGGTATCCTCATTAAAGTAGAAACAAACACTTGAAAATAGGAACAACTGCCAGTTAAAAAAAAAAAAAGAAAAGGGACCACAGCTGATATCAGAAGCCTTCATTTTTCCACATTCTGTTTCCTATTTGCTCTATAGCAAATACGATATATATTTAAGTAACCTCTTAAAAAGTAATGAAGGTAAAACTGATTCTGTATGCAGTAACCATTCCCATTTGCTGGAGGATTTGTGTTGCTAACAACCATCCACATTATCATACTATCTTAAGAAGAAGAAATATTTTCACAGTCCAGTTTCTAAACTGCCACATGCAATGCAAGGATTGGCTCCTGCAAAAAGTAACCCTTTCAAAAGTGAATAGCTCTGGGGAAGAAAACTTTATATCAGAATTACTCCTGCTAGAAAGGGTTTGTAAAATTAACCTTCAACCCTTTAAAATAAAAGCACTGGTGTATACTGCCTTTGCCCCCAGGAAATACAATGAGGCTTGAACACCATCACTAATTCACTGCAGTGTGAGCATTTTTTGTCATATGAACAGCATGAGGTATTAGATCTTATTTTCTTAGCAGAGGCCCTGGCAGAAAGCGATATCAGATAAACAGAAAGGGAATGGAAGGAAGTGGTACACTGTCTGTGAGCCACCCTTTGTTTATGAATGGCACAATTTCCTATGGGGAAATAATAAAAAAAAAAAAAAGAGAAGAAAGGAAAAAAAAAAAAAAAGAAAAAAAAAGGAGTAAAGAAGTTTTCAAGAGTATCTAATGACCACAGCAGAGTATATTGCAATGAACTGTCTGAACCACAGAATGCCACCATGGGTGAGGCTGGAAAAGACCTCTGGGGATCATGCTCAAAGCAGAGTCAGCCACAGAGTGCTGCTCAGAGCCATGTTGAGTTTTTAATATCTTCAAGGATGGAGATTCCACAACCTTTTTAAGCAACCTATGCTAGTGGTTGATCAGCCTCACAGTAAAAAATGTTTTTTCTTACAGGGGAACTGAAATTTTCCCCATTTCAGTTTGTGTCTATTGCCTTTTGGTTTGTCATTTGGTACCACTTTGGCTCTACCTTTTTTACTCACCCTTGTACACATGAAGAATTTACTCCTGAGCCTTCTCTTCTCCAGGCTGAGCAATGCTACCTGTCTCATCCTCCCTACATAACTCACATGATCCAAACCCTTCAGCATCTTTGTAGCTCTTTGCTGGACTCTTTCCAGTACCTCCATGCCTCCCCTCATACCAGGCAGGGCCGAGGACTGGGCTCACCACTCCAGCTGTGCCCTCCCCAGCTGCTGAGAAGAGGGGAAGGATCACACCCTTAACTTGCAGGTGTTACAGTACTGCTCCTGATGCACCCAAGGAGAAAATATTGGGCCTTCTTGTTGAAAGGGTGTGTTGCTGGCTCATGGTCTACCATAATGTGATTGTAGAAGCCTGTCAGATTGGTGAAGCGTGATTTTGCTTTTTTCCTAAGTCTACATTTTGTTGTTGATCTATCTCTAGAAATCCTGCATGATGCCATTCATGTCGCTTTCCAAATTCAGTGCCATAAAAATCCAAACAGCCTTCAGTCCTGAAGCAGTTAGACAGTTGGACTAGATGATCGTCCTAGGTGTCTTGCAACTGAAGAAAGAATTATGTTCCATTTCATGCTATTCCATTCCATTCCATTCCATTCTGCTCTATTCTAATAAAATGAAATTTATTAATTTAGCCAGTGTTTCAATGTATAACAACAGGAACTTTTAAATTTTTTAAATGTGTGTTATGTTTTTGATGCTTAGAGTTTCTTCCCTATTACGCAAATGCCTGTTTATGGTCTTTGTAAAATGCATTTTACAAGCCTGCTTAAGTATAATAGCCATTAAGTAGCTGTTATGAGCTAAGATGTCAATACATAATCCAAGAACGCAACAAAAATTTTACAGTGTTTTGGTAGTGCCAGCAGCAGCAGTGGAGAAGAAGAAAGCCTTGTAGATTTTTCCTTTTGATCAAGGTTTTTTTCAATGTTTTTCTTACTGCCTAATATGCACTAAAGAGGGAATAACTGTAAGTAAATAAAAATACAAGTTTTAACAGTCCAGTATCATCTCTTCTTTTTTGCTTACAAAATAAGCATCGCTCTGAAAATTTATTCCAGTAATGATGATCCCTGAAATTCTGCACAGAGCACTGCTTGAGTGTCCAGACCAAATGTTAGGAGAAGGATCTGAAGAACATCTTCAGCTGAGGCTCTGATGTAAATACATCACAAAAACTACAGCAGTTTCTCACAGCAACCTTTTCTAATAGACACAAGCAAGAGGGAAAGCTGAGGAACAGTTCAGCTAACTTATCTCTGCTGATACAAAAATAAAGACCAGAAATGTGCTACATCTCCTAATTGCAAGTACTGCTCCTTAACCATAAAGAGTAAAAGGTTAGTCCTTTTGTACAGCCTTTGATCCATTATGCCCGTATTAATTACCTGATTTACAGTACTTGCATAGTCAGCTCCATAGTAAAGCTCAGCAAAAAACAAAGTCTTTCCATGCTCCTGAAAGGTCACCTTGTACTTGTGTCTGAGCACAGGGCTACCTCAACCATGGGACCATATGTTGCTTCCTAGCTGATCTGCAGAATGAACTCTTCCTTCCCTCCCTGGCCAAACAGCTCCAATGTGAATACCTGCAAAATTCTGAAATATGAAAACTGAGAAGAGGGCTGTAACTGCCCCTTCCTGGTCACTTCAGTCTTATCATCCTCATTTGGTGGCTACACTTGCATACTAAGAACCTAATCTTACAGTCCTTTTGAAAACAAAACTCCCCATTGACTGGTATGTCTGTACTAAAAAAATTACTGGATATGCAAAGCAGCAGTTCTGAAAAAAAAGGAATTTAGTAATTTTTCTTTTAGTTTTCCCCTTCAGAAATGCCCTAAGGCAGTCATCCATTTCAGTCAATGGAAGGCTGAAAATGTTCAATCAAAAAGAAAAATCTATTTTTGAGCAATAGAAACATAAAAGACATCTAAAATCACAAATATTATTTTTTTGTACACATTGAAGACCAGATTTCTTCACATATCATTGATCTTTTTGTTAACTCTTTCCTTGTCACTTTTTTGCTGAGAGCAACTTTTGACAGTGAAGGCATCTGTGTTTATAAAGGAATTCATACTTATGATCCCTTAGTTATAATACTGGGGAAAGGAGGACAGTCACGTACACAAATGTTATGTATAAAAGACATACAGAAAGGTCAAGTATATTTCCATTTAGAAAAGCTTCATATATGTCAGAAATTTTACAACTAAAAAAGTAGAGTAAAACAATATTTTTAAAATGAAATCCAATTTAACTTACAGAATCATAGAATCATAGAATGGTTTGGGTTAGAAGTGACCTTGAAGATCATCTAGTTCCAACCCCCATGCCAGAAGAAGGAACACATTCCACTAGACCAGGTTGCTTCAAGCCCTATCCTACCTGGCCTTGAACACTTCCAGGGCTGGGGATCTGCAGCTTCTCTGTGCAACTTCTCCAGTGTTTCACTACCCTCACAGTAAATAATTTCTTCCTTATATCTAATCTAAATACACTCCCTTTCAGTTTAAAGCCATTTTCTCTCGGCCTATCCCTGCAGGCTCTAGTAAAAAGGGCCCTGTACAGATTTCTTGTAGACCCCCTTCAAGGACTGGAAGACTCCTAGAACGTTTCCCTGGAGCCTTCTTTTCCCCAGGCTGAAGAAGCCCAACTTCTTCATCCTGTCTTCATAAAAGAGGTGCTGTATCTCTCTGAGCATCTTCATAGCCCTCCTCTGTACTCATTCCAACAGGTCCACATCCTTACGTTGACAGCCCTGAGCTAAATGCAGTACCCAGGTGGGGTCTCACCAGAGCAGAGCAGAGGAGGAGAGTCACCTCCCTTGACCTGCTGGTCGAGCTCCTTTTGATGCAGCCCAGGATATGATTGGTTTCTGGGCTGCAAGCACACACTGCTGGATCATGTTGAGTCTCATCAACCAACACCCCCAAGTCTTCCTGCTAAGGAGGATTACCCTGACCCAGGTGTAGGACCTTGCACTTGACCTTGTCAAACTTCATGAGGTTTGCATTGGCTCACCTATTAAATGTGTCAGGGTCCCTCTGGATGACATCCCTTCCCTACACTGTGTCAACTGAATCACACAGCTTGGTGTCATTGGCAGACTTGCTGAGGGCACATCAATCCCACTGTTCATGTCACTGACAAACAGTGCTGGTCCTAATACTGAGCCTTGTGGTATGCCACTTGCCACTTGTTTCCAATTGGACATTGAGCTGTTGACTACAACTCTTTGAGTGTGACCATCCAGCCAATTCATTTTCCACAAAGTTCTCCATTCATCAAAAGGTAATGTTGAAATAAAAGGTAAATATATACTGGTTTGGAAATATCCAAAGAGCTTATTCAAAGAACTTTAACTCTGATCTGTGCCAATGACAAG